TTTATGTAAGGCGGTGGACCAACCCCCAGAAGGATGCTGGCCTGCTTCAGTATCAGACTTTTACTGTTTCTGTTAGTGAAGTATAAGAAAAGGAGAGAAAGATTCAGACATGCATCATTCAAGGTGCGGCTCCTTCGACTGTACTGGGAGGACAATTGGTCCTCTGGGATGCCACTGGGTATCCCAGCCAGGGAGCTCCAGAATCCATTTGCTCCTCGAGCTCCATTAGCATGCTGTTGTGTGAGAAGAAGAAAATCCCGAACTGTTAGGAAACCTAAAGATTGAAAGTGATCCAAACATCTGACAGCACCAAGGAGGATGCTGCCTTGCCAGGTGACACTCGAGTGCGCTTGGAAGCACTTTGGCTGGATGCTTCCAGCCAACGTTTTGTTGATCTTGAGTTATGAATTAGGCCACAGGCCTCAACTACTAACCTTGAAACCCTTAAGCACCCCTCAAGGCTTGAGCATCTGGCCCCTAAGCCTCTAGGCCATCTTACTTTGACCCCCTAAATTCATGAGCCCTACTTCTAGTCAGCCCCACTGGATATGTTCTACTCCGATTATAAGTAGGGCTGCAGCCCCGCCATATGTAGTTGCACACTTTGAGAAGTAAGTATCTTCTAATCCTAATATACAGCCATCACAGGGTGCTTTCACGTATGACGTAGTGACGTAGGATTAGGAATAGGCTTGTGGAGGTGGGATTTGGGGAGTATGAGTTCCCTCTTGGGTGTAGGAGTTCGGGTAAGGGGGTGTAGGGCTGGATGACTGGGGTCTTCCCCCACTGAGGAGACCTGGCTCCAACTAGCAAGTTGTCCACACCAATTGACTTGGGTATTGGTCTAAATTCCCTATAACACGGGGTCCTATATTTGGGCTCCCATTATAATACGGGGCCCTATATAAATTTCCCCCATTTTGGGAACAGTAGTTTAGGGAAACTACCATTTGAGTATGGCATAGCGAATGCTTGGAGGCTCATGGCTACTTACAGCAAGACACGCAACTACGCCGATTTTGGATGATGATTTCTACTGTAGTTATCATGCTTATCACCTCCATCTTCACGAATGACCTCTCAACAAAGGCTCGAAAGCGTACGTTGCTTCTTACTACCCTTATCCATGCTCCCTGTAATCCATGTTCCCCATATTCTATATTCTATACCCTATAAAACCCATTATAGTAGTTTCCATTTTCTTTTCCATTATCCCCATATCACCTAATATTACCCCATATTCTATCTACTTCCTAACCCTAAACCCTAAACCCTAAACCCTAATTTTGAAGGTAGGCCCTGCGCAGCCCAAACATTCCAGAACACGAAGCTTGGCGCGACAGGGTGGCCCACTGCCGGCACAAGTTCGTAGAGGCCAAGCCTGTTCAATAGTTCAGGCCATATGAGTAGCACACCATTTGGGGGGTACTATGGTCCCCAATATAGAGTAAGATGAAATCATGTTATGCTCCTTTTGGGTGTTGTATTTGATTCGAAGAATGTAATTCAACTTTACTGGGTTCAGTCACAAAAAATGCTAGTCATGTCGGAAAACACAAACAGCCACATCTTAGGGGGACCTATGTGATAGTCTTTGAGAAGCTCCAATAGTTCAGGTTTCGGGTCGAGCTAGGACTTTGCGGATACAGATTGGAGATCTTCAGGCCTCAGATAATAACTCCAGTCATCCCCCACTATGAAGGTACTTACAAAATCCCCTTACCCTCATCCCGAATCCCAAACTTTTGAATAATTCAATAGCTTCCATGGTCTTTTCCATAATTAACCTACTTCCTAAGTCCCCCTGACAACCCTGAACCCTGAAATAACATATAAATATCCTATAACCCTAAACCCTAGATAGTCGTTTCCATTTTCTTTTCCATTATCCCATTATAACCCCAATATAACCCCAATGGGTAGTACCATGATTTTCCATGCCCCGGGGCTCCGGGCAAGGGATGCAGGATTTTGCCTTTCGCGGGCTCGAACGTCATCAGCCCAAATATGCAGCTGCCGTGACTGAGAGGGTTTAGGGTTTAGGGTGGCAAGAATAACAAGAATGGCAATCATAGTACGAATAATATCAATAATATGGAAATGACAGTCATATAAGAAGAACAATAGTGATAGTAAGTATGATAGATACAGCAATAATGGTAATACCAAACCGATCCCGCCCCCCAAACCCTAACCCCAGTAGTAGGTACGAGACAGTTTCAAGATTCCTTTGGCAAGACGTGCAATTACCGCTAGGACTGGGAATTTCGGAGTAATCTAGGGGCCGGATACTTATCAACATCATGTTGAGGTCCATTTGAGATACCCTATACTTTAAGTATACAATGGGTTCTAGGACCAAAAGTAATATCGGATTTTATTAAAACCCTAAAGCCCAATTACGCCGCTTGAGCTGAGGAATAAACTATGTGGCAGTTTCTCAGCCCACCGGGCTTATACCAAAGCCTAAACCCTAAGTCCTAAACCCTGGACCTAAACTCTTAACCCTCCAAATTAAACGGAACTTCATGGCATGGGGGTCCGGAGGAGTTACTAAGCGACTAAGAGTTTAGGGTTAAGGGTTTAGGGTTCTAAGCAGGTGATAACAGGAATAACTGGGGTGATTATGCGGCTGAGAAGTAAACCTACCAAGTCAAGCTGCCTCTCCAAATGGAGCCCAAAAACAATCAGCGTGCTTTACCAAGGGGAGACCAACAAAAGGCTCAGGGTTCAGGGTTTAGAGGCCAGGGCACTCTCACTTGGGTTTAGAATCGTATTGTTGCTGCACAACCCGCCTTACAAAGCTCCTTTTTCCCAGCCTGAACCCTTGTAATGTAGAAGCCTGAATAATTGCCAATAGTACCCGCTCAAAACTTTGAAAAAACTACAGCATAGCATTCAAAATCATAGTTCGATGAATTTACTGCGGGACTGTAGATATACCAGACCCAATAATCGGGACCCTCTAGTTACTACATCACTAGATTCGGTCCTGAGCTGTCAAGGGTGAGGGTAACTAAAATCTCCTTATTACCTAAATACGCATTTAATTAACCCCAGCTATGTCCCTATATGATCCCCGTACACTGTAGTTTTCATGTTAGGTTGCACGTGCTTTTCCATGTGATTCTTCAAAATTGGCGCTTCTTTTGTTTAATCCCCCGGCATCAGCTGTTCCTAAACCCTATACCCTAAACCTACCCTAAACCCTAAACCTACCCAAAACCCTAACCCCTAAACCCTAGCATTTTGCAAGGAGCACGCCAGGTCCGGACTGGAGGACGGAGGGTTTGGGAGCTGCTTTGGGTGTTACAGGTTTCAAGGGTTCAGATGGTTTAAGGCTTATATGAAAGGGGGATTATATGGGGGGGTTTAGGGTTAGGGCTTATATGAGCCATAGTCTAAACTCCTTAAAAGGGGGTTATATAGGGGATAATATAGAGGAGTATTATAGGGGTTCTTAAGCGGGATATTAGGAGTTTAGACAGGCCACACTATCATTTAGAGTTTTAGGGGGTTGACGGTTTAGGGCGTTTAAGGATGAGAGATTTTGCTCCTGAATATTTCAGGGGTTGCGAATTTCGGTTGTAGGGGTTTGGGACTGTAGGGGCCTGCGGGGCTGGCTTGCTCGCGAGGCGGGACATGGTTCCAGGAGCCCAGCCAAATTTCTCCAGCAGATTGGCAGAATTGAAATGCCCTAAACCCTAAAACCCTTAACCCTAAACCCCAAACCCCTGAACTCTACAAATCTAAAGAGATGACTTTGGTTACTCCACAGTGTCATGGATCATCAAATGCAAAAGAGCATGGAACATGAAATTAATATTCAGTTTATGTAGAGGCCATGTGCGGTTAAAGGACCTCAAACCCTAAAAAGATGCTCATCAGGATTTGAGACTAAAAATACGGAAAACTGACGTTTTCTATGGCCCATGGGCGTGATATTTATGTTTGACTTCTGAAAAACTTTAAGTCTAAACCCTGCACCCCCAAATCCTAAACCCTGGTTCCTAAATCCTGAACCTTAAGCCCTAAAGCCCAAACCCTAAGCCCTAAACCCCAAACCCCGAACCCCTTAAACCGTAAGCCCCTAAACCCCTAAACCCTAAACCCCTAAACCCCTAAGCCCCAAACCTCTAAACCCCTAAACCATAAACCCCTAAACTCTAAGCCCTAAACCCTAAATCCCAATCCGGAGCACGAGGATCCTTTTCTCTCAGCAACGCAGATCGCGGACTGGATCCGTAGGACAACAGGTGACAAGGCAAGGGCGGGGGTTTAGGGTTTAGGGATTAATTAGGGGTTTAGGGTCAAGGGTTCAGGGTTTAGGGTTTGGAGGTTTAGGGAGTAGGGAGTTTAGGGGTTTGGGGGTGTAAGGTTACGCCCGCGGCGTTAGACAACGATGGTTTGGCCCTCACGGATTTCCTAAACTCTGGGCTCAGATTTTGGAGGAGCTGAGGGGTGGCAGGCGACCAGGCTGCGGCATTGTTCTACTGGGGGCTAGTAGGGGATAAGGGAGGATATAATATGTTGACTATACTCCCTTATTCCTTACTTACCCCTGGTAAGTCTTGTGTGTTAGGTCTCGGGGTTCAGCCTGCGTGTGAATTATGAAAAATGAGCGGACACACGCCCGTACGTCCAAGAATAGTAAAATGACATTCCAAAAAACGGTGCTGGTTTTCCATGAGCCGGCGAAGGGTTGAAGCCCCTTTTGGCGTCTCGATCCCGATGGCAGACATTTTAGACCCCTAGGACCTAAACCTAAACTCTAAACCCTCCACGCCATTTTTTCCTAATGTGGAAGCCTTAACAATAATCATCACTATCCTCTTTCCTTCCTTGTATCAACACGGTATAATATACCCCCCAAACCCTGATTCTTTAGTTTAGGGCCTTGCATTCAACCCCAAGACCAACTCCTATATAAACTCATTTGCCTATTGGGGGGTTACCCAAAATTAGGGCTACCGTTTCTAGGGGTCCCCGTGATAAGGATAATAGGATTTTGGGGTTTATATTGGGGTCCCCCTATTTTGGGAAGCTACCATTTCATGTTCCATGTTTCTTCTTCAGTCACCCTAAAACCTTAATTTCCAGCCCCTCATCCCTGAATCCTAAACCAGTTTTTGCATTTTTCAGGCCCCAGTGCCAGCAGACCTTACCATCGGAGCCAACTTCCATCGTAGACAGCCAGTGCTGGAGCCTCAGTCCTACGGTTGCTACTAAAAATCCTGCACGACCATGGTATTCTATGGCTTGTACCGTGAATCCCAAGGAATAAGGTACAAAGGGTCATGCAGGATTTTTACTATCCAGCGTATGCCATCCTTTCTGTCCGCCATGGAGTTACATCAAGCAACGACGTCATTTTGAGCAGCTGCAAGCCCCGGACTTGCGAACACCACTTCTATCATAGAAACTCCCTAGATGCTTTTGAAATTAACCTAAACCCTAAACCGCAAGCCCTCAACCCTAAACCCCGATGGCAAGCGAGGCTTCGCTTATCAAGGGGTTGAGAGTGGAATCCTTAGGTTCAACCCACGGCTTTTGGGATACCCTGCAAGTTTGAAGTGGGCTATATGTGGTAGTTTCCAAAGAATAGGTGGTCCTATAGGCCCCAAAATATTCTGAATCCTGATTACAGGGGCCTGAAAAGGACCTCGGATTCTTAAAGCTCCCCATATGGGCTTTAGAATTGAGAAGTTCATTTTCGTTCAACGCATGGGTCCCATCTGAAGCATAGGGTTTCGGGGTAGGGTTTAGGGTTCAAGGTCATTAGGAGAGCTCCCATCTTCAAACCCCCTCCCATGCCCAGTCCAGCTGATGTTCCTCAGATTTCCTCATAGTATATCCATATATATATATATACACGCTATATCCTAAACCAAAACATCCTATATCCTAAACTCCAAACCCTAAATTCCCTTCCCAAACTCCGTGCAGGTCGGCCACAGCACCCCCTGGTCGTCCCGGATGGCTCCGCGATGACGAGGTGCCTGGCAGCTTCGGAAGAGCAGAACTCGGCAGGGTTTGGGGTTTTAGGGCTTTACGGTTTTAGGGCTTTAGGGTTTTAGGGTTTTGGGTCACAGGGTTTTAGGGTGTTGGGGTTTGGGGGTTTAGGGTTTGGGGTTTCAGGGCTTTAGGGTTCATGGGTTTTGGGGTTCAGGGTTTAGGGTTTTAGGGTTCAGGGTTTAGGGTTTTTAGGGTTCAGGGGTTTTGGGGTTCGGGGTTTAGGATTTTAGGGTTCAGGGCTAGTGTTTAGGGTTTACCTCCCCCAAAAAAGGGTGCCCTTTTGAGTGGATATAGGGGATATATGTGGGTTTTTTTTTGCTGCAGCCGTGCGCACTAGAGGTTGGCGCGCATTGGCGCATACCCGGAAATTCTCAGTGCTCGGTTGATGGAGTGGTATACAATATGACCGAAAATTCCTGTACTAGGGTTGTGGTCCCAGTGGGCTTTGAAATGTTGATAAGTGGTAACTTCCAACCAATATGGGATCTTTCCACCTCTTCTTCTACCTGTAGCATGTATTCTATCTTTAAATGAGGGGCTAAAGACCACATGATGAATAGGCTCGGCAGGGTCTGAAAGGAACACTTGCGTGAGGATTTTGAGCTGGGCTTTATGCAGGAATGCGGAAGGTTTCTTGGGGTAACCTGCTGTTCTCCAGACTACGTTGTTAGTGACCCGTGAATAATACGAGGCTTTGATGCCCACTATCCGTCTGAGGAAACGATAGTAATATGCATCAATGCGTTTTAGATGCTTATCTTGCAGGGTCAGGGCGTCCAATCCGTAAATGAGAGTTGAAATGAACACTGATTGGAATATGTTAATTTTTTTGCGACGGGACATAGAACTGTTCCATACTAGGCGCAGCTTCTTATAGGAGGTTTCTGCAAGGGCGGCTCGATGCTTAAATGCGGCTTCAAAAGGCTTCTCGCAAGACACTACACTGCCTAAATACTTAGCTTGCGTTGTGGTCGGTACGTCTTCTCCGTTGACAAACTTGACTTTTGGAATTGGTCTACGGGGGTCCACCAACAATTCCGTCTTGGTCTGATTGAGTTGCATCCCGTATAGTCTGGCTTGTTCTTCCAAGTGATGTAAGAATCCCTCTAATTGCGTTGTGGTCTTGTTCAGGAGTAGCGTATCATCTGCATATTCTAGGTCATAAACCGGCTTGCCTACTGACCAAGTATTTGTTGCTATGCCGGCCGATAATAAAGCTTCATCTAAGTCTTCAAAAATGACCGTCAATACCATAATAAACAAGTACGGGCTGAGGGGACATCCCTGCCGGATTCCAGAGCCTACAGTTCCATAGGCCTTATCCCCTGAGCCAGAAACAGTGTGGAATGTAGGATCTGAATATAGGGCCCCTATAATTTTTATCGCTCGCTCAGATACTCCGAACCTTCTTAGGGCAATCAGCATGGCGTTGTGGTCGACAGAGTCAAAAGCTTGCTTCCAGTCTAACAGTAGGATGTATAACGGATTAGCGGTCATTTCTGACCACTCCATGGCCCTTCTGAGGATAAATCAAGGATGAATGGTGCCTTTACCCGCCCTAAAACCAAATTGAGTGTTACGCATGAGGGTCTCATGTATGGAACTTAATCTAGCCTGAAGCATAGATGCGAAGACTTTGTAAATAGAATTGAGCAATGAAATGGGACGATAATTAGCCGGATCAGTGTCGAGGCCCTTTCCCTTGTACAATAGAACGACTATGGCTTCTTTCCAAGTGCTAGGTATACTGCCGCTTTCCCATATCTTGCTATAAAACTCCAAAAGTTTAAGGGTGTTGTCGTCGTCTAGTAAAAGGAAAAGCTCATTACCGACCTCGTCCGGACCTGGGGCTTTCTTAGTCTTTAACTTGTTCAGTGCGGACTGTAGCTCTTCCAGTGTGAAGGCGTTGTGGTCTGTGGATTGAGCTCTGAGCTCTCTCCGGGCGCTCAGGAACTCCAAGTCACCCTCCCTTGCTGTTGCCTTTTTCCATTGTTTCTGTTCCAAGTGTGTTCTAAATGCCGCGTGCGTTTGTGACCATGGGACCGACTTTCCCTCTACAATCAGGTGTGTTTTTTTGCCCTGGAAACCTCGTTGTTGATTTCTAATAATTTTCCACATGTTGGTCTGTTCACGGCTTTGGTCTGCTTCTAATCCGTCGTGAATCCATTTTATGCGATCTTTCCTAGCTTTGCGCTTGGCGACGTTTCTGGCGTGTTTCGCGTCTGGGTCCTGGATTGCCTCCAATCCTCTAGCCTCCTCCAGCGCTTCTAACGTATCGTTGGTTATCCATGGTCGGCGGGGCGCCCGGGTGCTCTTGCTGAAAACCTGTTTTGCTGCTTCTTGAATATATGTGGGTTATGTGGAGTGGTATAATGTTGGATCCTGATTAGTGTGGGGGGGCCCCTTCCCTCCCCCCAAAAAGAAAACAAAACAAGGGGAGCCCGTATCATAAAAAGGTCTCAAAACGAACCCTAAACCCTAAACCCTAAACCCTAAACCCTAAAACCCAAACCCTAAACCCTAAACCCTAAACCCTAAAACCCAAACCCTAAAACCCTAAACCCCAAACCCTAAAATCAACAAAATAAGAGGGATCCTTCGCCTCCTATAGGGTTTAGGGTCTAGGGTTTAGGGATTGGAGGATTGAGGGTTTGAGGGTTTAGGGTTTAGGGTTTAGGGTCTTGCTCGGTCTGGCTTTCAAGAGAATAGGGAGGGCAGGGTCCTCGGCCTTTGCGTTAAACGGCCTGGTCTTGAAAACCTGGTAAAAGCAATTACAGCTTGATTAAAATCATAGAAATCTCTTCAAAATCAATTAAAAAGGACTTTGATCAACACTTTCCGTAGAAGTTTTGCGGCCGAAAAACTTTACTTCATTGGGACCCCCAGATCGAATAGGGGTCCAGAATATTCTCAGAAAAAAACTTTACTTGATTGGCGACCCCCGCACTAACCGTGATTCGACATAATAAGGTTTCTAAAAATTAGGAGTCCTTTTCGAGGTCCGCATGCTAATGCTTCTCAATATGTGGATTTTTTTGCGGCGCCCGTCAAACGGATTATAGACGTTCTGCGGGGTTATAGCGGATCCAGGGTTATAGTAGGGCTTAGAGGGATTTAGGAGTTCAGGGGTTTAGGATTCTAGGGGGCCAGGACTACCATTTAGAGGTGGGTGTAGGGTTTGGATTGGGGTTTAGGGTTTTTGTGTTTTTTCTTGCGGTTAGGGTGAGGGCCGGGTAGTCAAGGTACATAGTAAACGTTTGCCACCTTGTAACTGCAGTGTACATGCTAAGTGCACAAGCCTGATTTCTCTTCTGAGAAATGCAACAAGTTGTGCTGCTAGTAGCTGTGACAGTTGCAATGCTCACCGTTGATTGAAGGATGACAGTCCGAAAGAACTACTAGCACCAGTGTAGATTTGCTAGCTGGCTTTGTCATAAGACGATTGCAGCAGTCACATGAGAGTAGCTTCAACGGTTCTGGCAATCAGTGATGAGAGGGGTAGCTTACTAGCGGCACTGGCAATGGCTATGAAGGGTGGGAGCCATCATGATGAGGCATGTCGAGCGCTGGGCGGTAGCAATGAGTGTTGCTATTTGCATATAGTTTCCATAATTACCTGGGCCTCAATATATTACAATCTTTAAAATGGGGACTGCGGAAAATGGATCCCTAATTTTGGGGAGCTCTCCTTGCCATCCCGTATGGCAGGAAGGCCGCCCCGGCGTTTCTCGATACTTTCCAGGCAGGAGCAACCATGGACGCTTTGTAGGGGCATACAGGGTAAGAACTAGAGTGGGGTTTTGTTTAGCATGATGTTAGGACTACGTCTGATCTTATCAGAATTGCTCGCTACATCATGGGGTTGTGATGTGAGCTATAGTCTAAACTCCTAGTATCCCCTTCAATAAGCCTTATAATAGGAACCTCATATAGTCCCATCTTAAACCCCCCTTTTGCTCATATTGCTGCAAAGGAAGATTACAGTTTTGCTTGGTTCAGTTCTGGAGTGCGTATGCGGCCAGTGCTTTTAGGGGTTCAGGTTTAGGGTTTAGGGAGAAGCCCGTGGAGAAAGACTGGGTTGTTGTTAAGGAGTTCAAATTACGTAGCCAGTTGCCGTTCTGAGGAAACCAGATGATCTGAAATATGCTCATATATCCATTTTGTGGCATCATGGTAAGTTTATGTAAGTTCCTATATAGCCCCTGTGCAGCCCCAGTTTCCGTTCCACGTTCTTTGCAAGTTGATTCTCCAGTACGCTTGCTTAGTTTAAGCACCTCCAGTATTTCGTAGACAGACGTAAACTCTAAAGCATAAAACAGTCCAGGAGAGGGCCATTCTGTTGAGGCCAGTACCACGGGGAACTTAAAGGGTCAGCGGGACTTAGTATTTATATTTATGACCACTGCAAACTACATAATAACCCCAGTTCTCCCCATGAGTAACCTTCTTACCAATTCCCCAGGACCCCCTAAACCCTAAACCCCTAAAACCATAAACCCCTAAACCCTAAACCCCTAAGCCCTAAACCCCTAAGCCCCTAAGCCCCTAAACCCTAAACCCCTAGAGCAAAGAACCTATGACCTCAGGCGAGAGGTGGTATGATGCCTTGATGGGCTTCGTGGCCTTCATATACCAGGGCGCCTTTCCCAGATGGACAAACATTTTTGGGTATTTCTTAGGTGGACCCCCACCCAGTAAAAGGGTTTAGGGTTTAGGGGTTTAGGATTTAGGTTTTAGGGTTTAGGGGTTAGGGGTTTAGGGTTTAGGGTTTTAGGGGTTTAGGGTTTAGGAGACCCCCCACCCAGTAAAAGTGACTATAAGGGATAGTAAGGACTATATTAGGGTCCTCTTATATTCTTCTTATACCACTACTACAGGGTGGGGGGTTCCTCCTAAGGTATTTCATGGAGCCAGAGGGTTGACGCAGGACTGAAGTCTGTCCCGAAATCTCAAAGCGACATGAACACATGGACTATACAGGGGTTATAGAGGGATTCTGGGGATTTATAGGGGTATATAGGGGTTATGTAGGGATTACTATTCGGGATAGTAATGTAGAAATAATGGTGAAGAAAACGGAAACTGAGAGTGTTGCGTATTGTGTTGAGTTCATGATGTTGCCTCAACTCAGGCCCCCCCCACCCAGCAACAGTGTACAAGGAGGACCCTAAGGTACCTACGAATATAGTCCCCCTTAAGTATATAGAATATAGCTTTGGGTATATATTAATAAGATCCCCATATACCCCATATTCTATCTACTTAAGGGGGACTATATCCCTTGGGGGCCTAATCTGGTGTTTTGCCACTGCAGGCTTTTCGAGCTTAGTAGCAGCTAGATATCCCGCAGTGGTTTCAGCTTTGTTTTGTCCTCTAGCTTGAGTAATTGATTACTGATTCTTTGTTGGTAAGTAGTTTCGAACAGGTTGGGCTTTAGATATACATATCTCTCTGAGTATTCTGGACCCCTGAAATTGGGCTCTGCTGCTTGAGGCTATCAGCCTAGCAAGCTTCAGCCGACAGTGGAAGTCACCCGCTATCTCTCCATGGTCGGAGCCCACAGCCCCAAGGGATATTGCAGGAATTGGTTGTTGTCTTAGGCTGTTGTTGGGCGTATACGGTTCCTTAGGCCCAGTAGTCAGTGTATACATCTTTAGATATACATATATAGATGTTGATGTCAAATTTTGGGGGAGCTGAAATGAAAGTCTACCATATGGGGTTCTATAGGGGGATATAAAGAGACAAGCAGAGTCATACTCCCTCAACTAACATAGAAACCCAAACTGCCCTGCAACTACTACTGTCCTGTGGAGGCTTCGATGGGTTTCCATGGTAGTCGAGGGGTAGGGTCAAAGGTTTGAAGCGGCTGCGCGGTTGGGATTTGCAATTGAGGGAGAAGTTCCCCGGGGCTGAAGCCAGGAAAAGACAAACTGAAGCATCCCCCTAAACCCTAAACCCTAAACCCTATCCCGACTTTGTACAGGCGTTATGCAGGGAAGGCCTGGCAGGAGTCACATTTTTCTTAACAGTCAGTGTCGACTGTCGACAAAATGGCCCACCAATAAATGATTACTGTTCTCAGTCCAGAACCATTATATAGTGTATATACTGGATACAAAGGAGAGCATGATTTCAAAGCCTCGCTGGCATTCCAAGGGGAGGGTTTCCTTAAACAAGTAGAGAACAGATCTCAAATTTTGGGATCAGCCAGAGAACCGGTCCCCGTTCCCCCCATCTGTCGAGACACAAGGAATTTGGAAATTTCCATGCAGTCAGGGCTTCCGCTTGGGGTTCTTTATGATTCTTATAAGGGTTATAGTAAATTGGACATAGATACGACACCTTTATATTGGAAATTGTCATTTAGAGAAAGGTCTCATAGGCCTGAGACGCTGTGTCAGCTTGCTGCGAGATGTACGCGCGAAATGTGGCAAGGGGCTTGTTGCTGACGCATCCAACATTGGCTCAGACGTGAAGCCTAAACTTTCCTAACCCCAATACTACAATAGACGAAGAACCGATCTGTGTCTGCAGATTTCTTTCCTGTAGCAGCTTTCTTGTCTTCAGCTATCGCTAGGCCCTCAAAATCACTTGTTCGAAGGGAAACAGAAGTGCGACTTTAAATAGTGGCAAGCGAGCGCGTGCATGCGAAGTGCTCCATGTCGGACGGGAAGACGACGGAAACCTGCCACGGGAACTGGAAGATCGTGTATACAAAGCGCGCGGATTCGGGCGGCTTCCAGTATACGACTGAGGTTCTTCATGTACCTACCAGCAAAGTTGTCAAGAAGCTTGAGGGAACCGACATTGTCACAAAATTTGGCGAGCATGAATCAGGAGTCAATCTGCCGGAGTTCCTCGCCACAAAGAAGGATGGTGTGGAAACTCTGCAGCTCAAAGTGAATGACATCAAGACAGGCGAGGCCCGCCTATATCCACTGAAAGAGCCACGCTGACCGCTTCTTGTGGCATTTTGAGTCATCCTCCCAGGGATTCCAGAAAGTTTACCTCCAGTCTGCGGGACGAAGAGCAATCAGCTGAAGCGCTGCAAGCTTGCAAGGTCTGATGCCATTTTTGCTGAGTGAGCTGTCGGGCTCTTGTTCTTCCGAGAAGTATGTAACGTATGCCCATGCTTGTGGAACCGCTTTTCCCGCAGCTGCTGAACACATCGCAGTATCCAAAAGCCCACCAAAGGTGTTCATCGCCTGCGGGCCAGGCGGACTCAGAGACGACAAGGGACCACCTGGAGGATCACCGGAACTTGCTGAGCATGTGTGTATATATATATATTCTATCCCCACAAGCCCTGTAATACCCCCAGTTATCCCCTTTATCGCGACAGCAGGTCTACCTCAGCAAGACAGCTTTTTCTTGGAGGTTCAGGGCAATTAACATCCAATGAAAAGGGCTATATAGGGTCCCTTTTAAAGGAGTCATGGGGATACATGGTGTTCTTATGGCCCAATGATGATTGTACTGAATTACAGTCCAATGACGAGCCCCTGAATCCCGTAATATGGTCCCACTTGGGTTACAAAGTACCTACTATGCTTGTTATACTTACCCTGAGCCTCCAAGTAGTGATTAGTGCCTGCGCTATTCAGGCTCCATACCTGTTACATACCAAACTGTGGTCGCGGCCCAGCACGGGCAGGTGCTTCAGAAATCGAACAGATGTCTTGCTTGATGCTTCTGAAAATAGGTTTCTCAAAACTTTGTAAATGCCATGACCAGCGTAGAGAGTTCTTCATCCGCAGAGGTGCAAGGCATTTTCGGTTGAAGCCATATGCCCCTACTTGATATAGAGACCTCGCAGACCGGAGCCGCTAATTTGGAAAACGAGGCTCGCGGTGTCCTCAAAGCAGTTTTGATTTCTTCCTCACTACAGCCTCTGGCTGAAGGGTTCTGGGGCGATTTAGCTGAAGCTGAGGCATATGAGTGGGGTAGCGCAATCGTGTCCCACCAGCATGGACTGCTGAATTGAACTGGATCAGCCTACTTCACAATTAGCCGTGCCAGGTGCATTTTGCATGAACTACCCCACTTACAGAATAACCACTGCCATTGACATAGCAAACATGGAATCCTGGTTAGCCAGCCTCGTTTCGAAAAACTCATCTGGATGACTTGGGCGCATTCGGGCAGGGGAGCTTCTCGAGGCAGCCCCTATGTAATCCCTAAGTTTAGGGTTTAGGGTTGCGATGTCATCCCTGAATGGGATGTCAAAACGGCCCTCATCAGCCACCTGTCTTTCAGGGACAACGTAGATGAATATTCTTCACGCTTCGAAGCCCCCCCCAAAAAAATTTCCTAACCCAGACAATGAACCCTAATCCTTGAACGCCAATCCCTACACCCCTTGAATTCCAAGCCCCAAGCCTAAACCCTGAACCTACTTCGGTGGGCAGGAGGACGTAGTAAGTAGGGTACAAATCAGGATAATTTGGCTCATTACATGGCCTTTAGGGGTTGTGGGTAAACTTACTGAATCCTTAAACCCTCCCTCAACTCTAAACCCTAAATCCTAAACCCTCAACTCTAAACTCTAAATCCTATTATAAACCCTCAATCCTACACCCTGAACTCTAAACCCTAAATCCTAAACCCGAAATCCTAAACTCGAAATTCATAAAAGTAACCCGGATGCGTCTGAGGCCTTCCCCGTGAAGGGCAAGGAGCTTTCAAAGCTGGCTTGGAGCTCAGGTGCGCTGACGCTAGAAGCACCCAGGCGCGCACCCTCACCTGCATGAACCCACCCCCGCTGGCGCTCCACCCTTGCCTCGAACTTTACGGGTTAAGGGTTCTCTCGAACTCTGATCGCGCTCCTGTCTTCTTATTTGTTTTTTTGCACCCGTCCATTTCGAGAGTGGGCCGTGCGCGGGCACCTGTCTAGACCAGGCGGGTGCAGGGTTTGGGCTGGGTCTGGCTCCAGAGTTCTTGTGCTTATTGAGATTGAGCCTGCCTGGGGGCCCTCGAGCCTTGAACCAGTCCGACGTCTCCAGACTAGACGGGTGCCAGGTTTGGGTTTGGGTCTGGCACGAGGCCTTTAGTTTTCTTCGGACGGTGCCACTGGATGCTTCCAATCCTGAACAAATGGTCCTGTCTATGACAGGTGGGTGCAAGGTTTAGGCTGGGTCTGGATCCGAACAAATGGACCTGCCTGGGCAGGTCGGTGCGTCCAGAGCAGGTCGGTGCAAGATTTGGGCTAGGTTTGGGCTTCTTGTGCTTAGTGAAATTGAGGCTCCATGCCATCGAGCCTTGAACCAGTTGAACCTCTCCGGACAAGATGCAAGGTTTGGGTTTGGGTCTGGCTCGCGGCCTCTGGTTTTCTTCGGATGGAGCCCTGGCTGGATACCTCCAATCCTGAACAAATGAACCTGCTTGAAGCCCTTCGGGCGCGAGACCTCCATTTTCTTCAGATGCGGTTTGAAGGAAAGTCTGAACTGGGAGGTGGCGAGGGCGGAGGGCTGGGGGCCCCTGGCAAAAGGCCCTAGCCCTACGAAGACCTTTTTGGGGAGTGCCTCTCAGGCCTCCTTGTCCCAAGATTCACTGGCAAAGGGGCCTCAAGGGGGGGCCGTGGGGGCCTGAGAGGCGCATCTGCAAAGAACGACCCAAGAAATGCCATTCTAAGGCGACCTGACGGGTTATTCGTCAGAGACCTGCCGGGTCTACCGCGCAGCGTTTAGGGCTTAGGGTCTTTCATGGGTTCCCCCACCCCCTGACTAACCCCAAGGCTACTTAAGCGGCGGTAGGGGGAACCCATGACATTTTCCCTGCACCTCCAACACTGTTCCGCGCAACAGTGTTCCGCGCGCGTTTGTTAATTTTCTTGCACAACTTGCTGCGATCACATTTGTACAGCCAACAATTTAACATTTGCTCAGGATTTTTCGTAGAAATTCTGCAGGACAAGGTTGAACGTGAGTTAGCGATGGTAGATGTGTGGGAAGTTCCGGAACCTTTACTGAAAAAGTGGTCGGTCCTATGGATTTTTTGACTTTTGCGCATGATTTTACAGTGATTGCCTTCTTGCGGCTAGCATCTAAGAAACGGTGACAGTCACAGTATGAAGCATGCGGGAAGCAATATTGGATCACTGGTTTTTGGATGCTTGCAGGGTCTCATGTAGGGTTTAGGGTTTAGAGTTGAGCATTTAGGGTTCCTGGAACGTCAAGACGGTGTGGGACGAGGGAGTGAAGAACGTCAGCTTCCAAGATCGCAATATTCAGGGGGCTTATAAGGTGGGATTAGGGTAGGGTAGGTGGGTCAAGGGGTCCCTAGTATATACCCTATTATACTGGGCTAATCTCCCATACCCACCTTCCTTTACCCCACCTTTTGAGCCCTCTGAAATGCAGGCATGGAGGCAAATGAGGCCTGGGTTTTGATGGAGCTCCTGAACCGAGTGTCGTCTCGTGGCACCCCCTTAATGCTGGATCTAAGACAGGATAATTTCTAAAGTTAAAGAAGACTAGAAGGATACCTAATTTCTAGAGCCTCAGTTTAACAGGAGTTTCTAATCTGTCTTCATTTTGTGGTATAAGTCTTCTATCATCAATTTCTTACATCTGGTATCTTTTCCCTGAAGCTAATTATTCTGGAAACCACCCGTAATAGAAACCTTATTAATTTGGTTTCTTGGAGATGATTTTCTTCAGGGTTTGAACTAGATGAAGAAAGTGGTGAATGTTTTTAATTCATGAGCCAGCGAAAACAAATCAGGGTCACAACAATAAAATCTCTACGACAAAATCATTGCATTAGAAATCCAAGTCACCTTAATAAAAGTCTTACGTTCACTAGTTTCATCCAGTACAAGAAGGAGTGTAATGAACTTGGGAAAGAGAGCCATGAAACCACAGCACCCCTTTAATATAGGATGTGACCGTAGAATTAATGACTGAACCTCCTTTTCAAAGCACCTCCTGTAAGCCTGGGTTTCGTTCACAATCATCCGTTTCTTCTTTAATTTCACTCCTCTCTCCCTTTAGTTCATTCACTACGCTCATTCTATTAAGGGAGCGAGTAAGCAAAAGGAAAGAGCGAAACGAGTGAACGAATAAACGAACAAATGAATGAAACAAGGGCCCCAGGCTGGAGTCCCAAGATGCTATGTTCTCTGGTGTTAGAGATCCTTAGAGCTAGTACTAGTTATAAAAAGGATCAAACATACTGGATTTCTAGCAAACATGTGGTGATGGGAAAGTTATGCTGGGCTCTAAGTTCCTGTCCCACGGTGAAACATTCGTCTCTGGCATCCTCTCGCGACCGGCGCCGTTCCTCTTTGCATTCAGTTCACTCTCTTAATTCACTCACTCGTTCACTTTGTTCACTCCTTTTAATCATTAGAGAGCGAGATGAGAAGAACGGGAACGGAATAAGAAAAGAAAGAGTGGACAAAGGGAGCGACGACTACGATGTCAAGGGAGACGAGGAACTCGTAAGTTGACTCTTGTTGTATTAGGGGTAGGTGTCACGAGGCTGTTGTAAGGTCAACCGTATTACATTCTATACCATACATGGGGTTGTTCCTTTTCTGCGGTTACATTGGGTTATTTTGGGTTCAGGGTTTCCCAAAATTGGGTGTACCTTTTTGGGGGTCCCCATAGTAAGGATTAGGGTAATTTGGTATTTTGGTATCTATATTGGGGCCCCCTATGTTTGGGAAACTAGCATTTCGAACGATGCGCACGAAGTAGACACTTTGCACAGGTCGAGCAGAGGGCGGGTTTGAAAACGCTAGGGGCCCTTTGTTATAGGGCTACCGAACTTTGTGGGAGTAACACCGAGAACAGAATGAGGGTGTTTACAAGCATGATATCTTGTAACTCTATCATACAATATGTCCCTATGGCCCCTTTAACCTAAAAAAGCCTTCGAGCCGAGGCCGACGCCTTAGAAAGAAGAGGTGCCGACATCCTCCCGTGTCTTGGTTGCAGTCTGCGATGATAGGGGTTTCCCAAAATTAGGGGTTACCATTTTGCGATTATGTAGGGTTATAAAGGGTGTAGGGCTGAGGCCTTAGTAAGGGTTATAGTACTTTGGTAGTCTATACTGGGGTCTCCTTGAGGGTTCGGGGCTTTTGCGTGCACGCTCCTACGCCTTCTACCACCGCCACCACCAGCACTAATACTAGCACATGTGCTGGTGGTGGTGCTGGTGGTGATGACAACGGCAGAGGTGAAAAGTAGCAATTTCGATGGTAGTTGCATGCAATTAATACTTAGGGGGGGGTGCCCCCACCCAGCAATAGTGGCTGTAAGGGCTAGTGGTAATTAGATTAGGGTCCTCTTGTATTCCTATTATGCCACCATTACAGGGTGGGGAGGCTCCTCCTAATGAAATGACACTGGTAATCCATGAGAGCACGGTTCGAACTGGGCGAGAACTTTACCTGGAACAACAGACTGGAGAAAGGAAACTTGAGAAACGCAATGCTTGGCCGTTTCATGAATACGTACTCGTAGCCAGTGTGTCTATGGTATGGTTTTGGGGGAAGAAGCAAGAGAACTCAGGTCTGAGGCGCGCAAGGTCATCAAAGCCTGGTCCATTGATGCCAGGGCCTCATACAGGCCAGTGCTCTTGTGCGTGCTGATCGCTAGAACTGCGTAGTGTAACATGAACGCGTGTCGCGAAGTTTGTAGACATCATTCTAGATTTGACGCAGAGCCTGGACGTCCTCATTTGGCCAGCAGCTACAGGGGCCACGATCCTTTTGTTAACCGTGTCCAATAACCTGAGCTGGACTAAGCAATGTGAACTTTGCTTTGGGTTGTTTAATGATGTCCTAAACCCTAAAAACCTAAACCCTAAACCCAAACTCCATATACTCTGTACCAAGGTATGTATGCACCGCAGATTTCAAGTAAACTTCCAGTAGGATCTGTAGAAGGATCTTCACCTGCAGTAAGAGAATGTTTGGATCCCTGTTGCTGTTGGTCTTTTTACCACCCTTTTTTGTCTGAGGCTTACCTGTAGCTCCGCACATTCTTTGCCATTGCTGGTGCAAAACGACTTGGAGACTAGTACTTTCAAGCTTTAGAATCTACAAGAGTTCATCATGCTTGGTGGCATCCACTTGTAGTGAAAGAGAAGAAGATGGCTTGCAAGTAAAAACGAGACTGGGACCTTGGACTTACCCTAAACCCTAAACCCTATGTCCTTGTCCTAGTTGGCGCTCCCAACCTCCCCTTTCTGACGTTCTTCCTAGGGGGCATGCAAAAGCAAATGTCCAGAATCAGGGCTGCGGTTTAGGGGTTGAGGGTTTAGGGTTTAGGGTTTAGGGTGGATTCGCAGGTACTTCGTAGTCTCACTGTCAACATTAACAGGTGCTCAACCCAGCACCAGAAGCCACAAGCAGAAAGCTTGCTCCGCCGAAACGACAGTCCACATCTTCCTCACTACGGGGAGGTTGAGAAATTCACCTGTTTCCCTAGATCGCAGGGATTATATAAGGCTTTGCGGGATATATATATATATATACATAGGATGATACGGATTCTAGGGTTTAGGGTCACATTCCTTAATGGGGTTATATAGGGGAGTATATTGGGGACTATTATGGAGGTTATTAAGGGGGATACCAGGAGTTTAGACTATAGCGCAATCTGATCCCTGTGCAACCCTGGCAACCTCTTTACCACACCCTCAGCTCTTCAATCCTAAGCCACCAAAAGCCCCAAAATCCCGTATCCGAATGTAATCCGCATGGCATCCCCCGCCACATTCCCAGTCTATCCCTATGTGAGCTGTAGTCTAAACTCCTTAAAGGGGGGTTATATAGGAGATCATATAGGGGACTATTAAAGGGGATATTAAGGAGGATACTAGGAGTGTAGATTATAGCTAAGGGACTATTAAGGGTGGACACAGAGGCCCCTCTGGCAGTTGAATACCACCCTTATCCCTATGTGATCCCTACAAAACCCTTCCGAGTTCCAGTTATTCCGAGGACCCGATAACCCAAACCCTGAGAACCCGAAACCCTGACTGAATCCTAAACCGCAAACCCATAAACCCTAAATCTTAAACCCTAAACCCCAAACCCCAATCCCTAAACCCCAAACCTCAACCCCTAAACCCTAAACCCCAAACCCTTACTCCGAGGTTGGCCTGGGAGACCCTGAGTACGAAGCTGGGGATGAAGTTGCCGCACAGGCAAATCAGTGCTCAGGTTTTCGTGGCGTGGCTTGTTTTTTGGGAGTTTATAGGGGTTCAAATAAGGTTTAGGCGTTTAGGGTTTTTTGGGAGTTTAGGGTTTTAGGGTTTCAGGGTTTAGTAATCTAGGCCTTCATTGCTTGGGATTGCGGAAGGTGTGGGGAGACAGTTTACATGGAGGGTCACGGGGCAATTATCCCCATCGTAAATACGTGCCCCTGACCCCTCTGGTAAGAGTAACCCTAAACACTATAAACCCTACAAACCCTGAACGGTTTAGGGGTATAAAGGCGTAGGGGTTGCTGGGCTTGAGGTTGTGCAGGGTTTTTAGTGTTCTACCTTGGAGGTTTAAGGTGTTGAGGGGTCAAGGTCTTTATTAGGTTTTGTGGGGTTTGGGGGGGGTTGAGGTTAGGCTTCCAGGGTTTAGAAGCTCCAGGACGGGAGGGTTGGTTTTACAAATTGTAGCGTTTACGGGTATAGGGTTCATGGGCTGCAGTGCCTGTGGAGGTTTAGGGTCTCTTTAACGCAATAGAGGTTGCCCTTGAATCGTCATGCAGATTGCAAGAGACGGAGTGGTTTCTTTGGGGTCGACAGGGGCAGATGTCCGCTTCTTTGTTCATGCTTGAACAGGCTTGGGTGAAAATGAGAATGACCTCATGCTTAGCCGAGGGGACAGATTCTGCTAACTACTGGAGGTGAGCTAAGAGGGTAGGGACTTTACATACGCGGTAGAAAGGTCTCATCTGAAACCATGATCCCTATCTACTCCTCATATAAACTCACACCATAGGTAGATTCCCTCGTGAAATTGACCTCAGCTAGATGCTTCAGAATAGCAGCGCCTGCAATCCATTCCACCCGTCCTTTGAAGGACCTATCCAATACAGTGTTTTAGGCGCACCCGGAGGGCGAACTGGTATTGTTATGATTGCTGGTGTTATTGTTACCATCATTAGTCTTCCTTTCATTGTCATTACAGTGCTGCTGCTACTACCCATAATAATACAAATGCTTTTACTAGTACTTCGGGGGTCAGGGGGAGTTAGTATGTAGGTTCATCATGGGGATAACTCCGGTTATAATGTGGCTTATAGGGGTCATATGGTTTATAGGGGTCATAAGCACACTTCCTAATTGCCCCAAACCAAAGGATTGACCTCTAAGCCTATAGCAGCAACCAGGGTTTGGGGTTGGGCTTGTATATGACGTGCAGCTTTGGTAAGTTTTGATGAGGGACTTGAGTCTGAGATGCAGCCAGACACAGATGATAGGTCATATACTCACACAGATATATATGTATATACTCAGTCCCTACGGTGCAGGGATAGATATGTGTGTATATATTGATCTTGTTAAGATAGAATGCGCAAGGAAACGCCCTGGTTCCCCATGCGAATCCCAGCAACTGCGAAGCCTCGAAGCGTCCTTTTTTGGTATGAGTTTTCGGCATTGAGGTCTCACAGCAAGTTTTTTTGTACCCTAAACCCTAAGCCCCACTTGAAGCTCTGCTTCAAAGGCTGTGCTTTTGAGCAGGTAATGTGCCGTCTATTCCAATTATTGGATGCAGGCTTAGGGTTCGAGATTTAGGGTTTAGGGTACAGGGTCTAAAGTTTCGGGTACTTTTGCGCACAAAATTGGACGGCGAGAACAATCTCGAGTAAGAGCACTGCAGTGTAAAGCTTTCTGATAGATAAAGTAAGTCTCTCAGGGCATACCCAAACCACTGCCAAGGACTTCCCAAATCCAACCCCTCCCCATAACAAGGCTCTGGAAGATGAGCATATCTGTAGCCTAAACCATATCCCGTAGGGCAGATTCCTTTGGGGCCTAAATTCTGGACCCACCTTTAGCACTGAACCGTAACCCTAAACCCTGGACCCTAAACCCTGAATCTGGACATAGTACCTACCCTGGGCTGTTGGGGTGTCTAGGGATTTGTATAGCCAGGACCATTACCATGGCCTTGTTCGCCGAAAGTCTCACAGCAGCCTGACCCCCAGAAAAGGCTCCCAGGGTTATGGGGCTTAGGTTTAGGGCTTAAACCTCAGGGTTCTAGGGTTTAGGGTTCTACGCTCTAGGGTTCTAGGGTTCTAGGGTTCTAGGGTTAAGGGTTCTAGGTTTAGGTTTGAGGGTTTTAGGGCTAAGGGCTAGGAAGGATTTTACAAAATACCATTGTCATTTACAGTAATGAGCGAGTAGAGAAGACCTTAAGATATCACCTTGTTGCGACTTGGGGTCTTCCTATATGACCCCAGTGTCCGTTAGCTTTTCCATGTGGTTCTCTATTTGGTTTTCCCTACCTAGAGAAAAGGCAAAGCATGGCCCGGCAGTCGAATTGTAGCATTGTTCCTTTTTCTACTCCTTTATGCCTAACTACCAGCAAGCGCAAAAGTTTGGATCCCTGTCTTGGATCCTTATTGAGCCTCTGGCTAAAAATCCGAGGAGTGGGGCAATGTAGGTCAGCAGGTTTTGGAGGGTCTACGAGTGGAGATTGAACATGTCCATATGGAGTAACGGCGGAACTCTCAGACATCACGTGTCTTTGCTTTCGTGATACCGGAATGCTAACCAGCGCGCAGAAGCACAAAGTCATAACAGAATGGCTACCAGAAACAAGAACTTGAAAGTTTAATTGACAGGGAAGCTTGGAGTGCTTGACTTGCCTTTCCCGGACAAAGCCAACTGTACCGCTCATCAGCTGCCCAGCATGTTGCCCGGCAGCCCCGCAAGGCCCAGCAACATGAGCATCAGCTGCCCAGCATGTTGCAGCCCCACAAGGCCCAGAATTTTGAGCAATAGCTGCCACTCATGTTGGCTGGTAGCCCTGCAAGGCCCAGCATCATGAGCATCAGCTGCCCAGCATGTTGCCCCAGGCCCCACAAGTCCCAGCATCATGAGCATCAGCTTCCCAGCATGTTGCCTGGCAGCCCCACAGGGCCCAGCATCATCAGCATCAGCTGCGCGGCATGTTGCCTGGTAGCCCCACAAGGCCCAGCATCATGAGCAATAGCTGCCACTCATGTTGCCCAGCAGCTCCACAAGGCCCAGCATCATGAGCATCAGTTGCCCAGCATGTTGCCCGGTAGCCCCACAAGGCCCATCATCATTAGAATCAGTTGCCCAGCATGTTGCTTGGCATCCTCAAACCACGGTGTGTCAATGCATCAGCAGCCGCCTTCATGCTGCCTGGCAGTGCAAGACAGCCCAGCATCATGAGCATCAGCTGCCTTACATGTTGGGGCGCGACCCCAAGCGTCCCAGCTTCACGACCCGTGAACAAATTTGATTTATGCATACATCCTGGGAGAGGCAATAAGGCCCCGCATGGCCGAGAGGAATGCGACTAGTGAGGACGGCATCGGCTACAATACGCAGAATCAATTGTTTGTACACCTTCGGTCGCGGAAGTCTCCAAGTGTTTGCAAAATGAACTCGTGCAAAAGCCTTTAAACTGTGCCTGCATTGTTGCAGGCAACAAGGGGGTGCTCCAGTCGTTGACGTGCCCACAGAGCAGCACCTGCAACCTGTCAGTTGCCCAGCAATGTCCATCCATTTTGTGCTGCAGAAGGGGGTGCGATGGCTAAGAGCTTATGGTTCACGTTGCATGTGGCTTCGACAAATTCAGGAGAAGGAGCTGGAAGGTTTTGTTCAGGGTGCAAGGCTAGAGTTGATTGCCCAGTTCTGCCTAGAAGCTTTTGGATATGAAAGCATGCTTTCTCTTTTCCGAAAGCGCGAACCCCGTTAACGGGCTGATAACAGCCAGTGCCTGTCAGTAGCGGTGACCGTTGAAGTGGTTCAATTTGGCAGTAAGTCTTAGTAATTAAGCAAGCACGTGGCATTGCTTCAGCAGGTTTACCCGAAGATCGGAACTCAGACAACTTCAACACCAAGCCGGCTAAGACTCGCGGACAGAAAGCGCATTCGCCGAATGCAACCTTACAAGACTTCTAAGATCCTCTAGAACCCATGCTAGGGTTTCCCAAAATTATGGGTACCATTTTGGGGGATCCCCATAATAAGGACTCTAGTATTTTGGGGTCTATATTGGGGTCCCCTTGTTTAGGGAAATTACCATACATCATGGAAATGAGTCAGGCAGGCAGCACAGTAATTATGCATGCTGGTAGCGACGGTTGCAGTGATAAGGTTTTTCTTCTAAGCGACATACCATAAGCCGCTGTACCCTCTCGCGCTAACGTTGTGTAGGTATCCCACTCGAATTCGAAGTGACCTCGAACTTCCGACTCACACTTCAAGCTATCATCCCTAAACCCCCAAACTCCCACATCCTAAAACCGCACACCCAAAACAAGTATATATTCCCCCTTAAGTAGAAGAGTATGGGGTATATGGGGATCTTAATATACCAAGAGCCATATGCTATCTAGTAAAGGAGGGCTATAGCCTAGGTGGAACCTGCTTCACGTAACTGTGAGCACTGTGGCAGCTCGGGGTTTCTCCGGGCGAACGTTGCTTGGAGTGAGGGGCTCGGGCTGTTGCGTGTTTTGGATGTCAACCAGGGTTTAGGGTTTAGGGTCTGGGATAATGGAAAACAAAAATTAGGGTTTAGGTTTAGGGTTTAGGGAGAATGGAAAACAAGATAGATACTAGTATTTAGGGTTTAGGTTTAGGGGTTTGGGGGTTTTGGGGGATTAATGTAGACCCCTTATTAATAAAAACCCTCCCCTTAAAAAGGGATTATAATAGGGATCCTAAGATTATTAAGGCCCTTCACAGGATGGGGTGTATTAGTCAGGGATCTACATTAGTGATCTAGCGTTTTCTTTGGGGCCAAGGAGGACCACTCCAGGGGGCCATTCGAGAAGCTTGGACCCTGTCACGAAATTCACAAGTATGTTTCTCGGTCTTCCTAGTTGCGGTCAGGACCATGCTATTCGGGGAGTAGGTCGGGCTCATTTTTGAGAGGCACTAAAAAGTCATACAATGAGATGTTACACCCAGGTAGATGCTGCAACTCTATCTCCAGGCAGTTCTTCTGACATGGCCGTAATTACGGAGGTCTACCATGACCATCGATAATGTGATACTCCTACGATTTCCGCTGCAACTGCTACCGCTACTTGCGCGGATACGCGAGTATCACAGCAACCTTCTGGGCATGATCCCGCCGAACGTTCAGCACAATGCTGTGGATATTGCCCTTCACCCTGGGACCCAAAATACCCCTGAGAAATCAGAATCTTCATTGCAAAAAGGAGTCCTTGATTTAAGGAAACCTCCGTATATGTTTGCCACTGGGTCAGAGCAGTATTGATACTGTAGCTCTCCAAAATATTTTGACCCTAATAAAGGCCCCAAAATACTATAGTCCTTTGTATAGGTACACCCAAAGGGGGGGTATCCCTAAAGGCGCTGTATTCAATTGCTTCTGCTCAGGACGGCAGTATCCTATCGCATGGAAGCGAGGGTGGCATGGCAGGCTGCTGAGTCAACTCCCGGGGCCATAGGAGCTGTAGTCAAAACTCCTTAAAGGGGTTCTATAAGGGAGTATATAGGGGAATATTATAGGGGTTAGTAAGGGGGATACTAGGAGTTTAGGCTACCATGGCCTAATTGTTCTCAATAAGCCCTACTAGGCCCTTAGATTGTGTACTGGGGGGTGCTCGAAACAGCCCCATGAGCAATGCTGAGGTGCGTTCAGGGGCTTTAGGGTTTGGGGTAGATGGGCTCAGGGTCTCGGTTGACACCTCTATGACGGAGGAGAATGACCTCCTAAACCCTAAACCCTAAACCCTAGACCGCCTTCAGGCTCAGGATGCTAAGAAGGATGATCTGGTCTCACGCTTGGGAATCCTAAACACTCAATTCCTTCAACCCTAAACCATGACTTTCTTCGGGGTTAAGAGCAGGGGAGTGTCAGCAAAAAGTCCTTCTATTCCTTTGGGCTTAGGCTTTCCGATAGATGTAGTTGAAAGCAAAAAAGGCTGAACATGCACCTTTGTGGCATCCTATGTCATCTTCAAGAGACGCCCTACAGTACGCAGTCTGCATGAGACCCTATGTATGGGGGTTGCCACAAAAACTGGCGGTGTCTCCTTCTTGGACCCATAATAAAGGTTATAGGCTATAGGATGTTGGGGTCTTAAAATGCCTCTTTTGCATGGCAATCCACAGATGATTCTAGTGGATACTGCTGTATTCTATGTGGTGTCCGATGTGAGGGAGCCTGAATCAAAGTCATAACATATGTGATGGCCCTATGATACACTGCTGCACTCGCCATCAAGGTTCATGGGACCTTGTATCTCCTGATGGACCCATGCCCTTCTGGTATTCTCCCTCCTTGCATCGCTCTCGCGATTGTATTGGCACAACCTGCTCCCCCCAGGCCCCCCCCCCCCAGATCGTGTTTTTGGCATGGTGCCCAGCAGGATTCTCGAAAGTTGGGACATCCGAAAAACCATGCTGACCCCCCCCCCACCCTCCTGGGAAACCTACGAAAACGGAGCCGATCGGGGGTGGGTTAACTGACTCTTCTTCCGGCCCTGGAGCTAAACGTCTGAGGCCTCCAGCCTCAGCGGAGACCAAGTCACGGTTTAGGGCTTAGGGTTTAGAATGGTTTTAATAAATCTAAAAGGGGCTCCGCCGCCTCATTCCCTACTTTGTTCCAGGTAGCAATGCAGACATGGTAGTTTCGCAGCGTGGTCCGTATGTAGAGTCCCAATGGTGCCTTCTTCCCGTGATCATGAGAATATGACGCCTGTAAGCTTGGGTACCCCGGGATGGCCCCAAATATAGTACAGTTCATATTATTTAGGGCCGCCAAAAAGTGACCCCTAAGTATTGGAAACCCTAAACCCTAAATATCACACATAGCATCTAGGTCTCCCATTTAAACTATGTAGATTCACTATAAACCCTTCAAAGGTGCTCCTAGATCCATTTGACGTACCCAAACCCTAAAGCCCAAACCCCTGAACCTTGAACTCCAAACCCTAAACCCCAACACTAAACCCCAAACCCTGAACCCCTATATGGATTTTGCTGTAATGACACAATGAGATTCTTTGCTGGGTCCCGGCTCGGAGAGACGGAAATGTCTGTGATGAGTCTAGGGTTTAGGGTTTAGGGTTCAGGGTTTAGAGTTTAGGGTTTAGGGTTTAGGGTCAGGGTCGCACTTTTCCGAAGTTTGGCTCATGGCTGTAAATGCCTGCCCTCAGGGTCCAAGGACCCAAATAATTGGGCTTTCAGGCCCAAATACCATTAGTATGATAGTATTTGGGCCCTGAAACCCTATTATTGGGGTCCTTGGACCATTAGGGTCGGGACTGGCGTCCTGCCTGGTTCTGTGGTTGCCGTTGTCGTTGTCGGCATTCGGGATGCATTCCTGCAGACGGAAAAATTGATGTACCAAAAAACTCAACACCAAACCCTAGACCCAAGCCCACCCTAAACCCTTAACCCCAAACCCTCAAGCCTAAACCCCAAACCCTTAACCCTTAGCCCTTAACCCCAAGCCCCTAAGCCCTGCTCTGAGGCCCTGAGATTCCAGGATCCAGAGATCGGCGTAAGGGAGGCTCAGGCCCGTGACACAGGGGGGCAAACGGCTTAGGGTTTAGGATTTGGGGATTTGGGTTAGGATTTAGGGGTTTGGATTTAGGGTTTAGGATTTAGGGAATTGGGTTAGGAATTAGGTTCAGGATTTAGGGAATTGGGTTTAGGATTTAGGGTTTGGGCTTAGGACGGTTTAGGGGCCCAGCAGGGGCTTAGGGCTGAGGGTATGTAAGGGGATATAACGGGGTCTCTTTGAGAAGGACACGCTTTAGGGGTTTGTAGAAAGTTTAGTGTTTAGGGTTTATAGAAGTTGTATAGGGCTCCATATCCCAAATTTTGACCCACTCTTGACCGTTTGTTTGTTTTGCTTTTGCCCGCGGGTGCTGGGATCCCTTCGCAATTTATGTCTACCCCTTCCTTGCTTAAGGTTTAGAGAAAGATTGGGGTTTAGAGGCAGGTTTAGGGTTTAGGGTTAGGTTTAGGTCTAGGGTTAGGTGTAGTAGGGGTTTGAAGGTTTAGCATGTAATGGCATAAGATCTGGCCAGTTGTGTATTCTCCTTCAAGCACCCATGAGACACAACATGTGCTGGTTCAGGATTTAGGGTTGAGGGTTTAGGGTTTTTGCTGCCTAAACCCTAAACCCTAAACCCTTTCTGCTGTAAGGAATGCAACTACCCAGCCTGCTTTCCCCAAGTTCCCCATGACTATCATATGTGCTCCTGTGGTGCTTGATATAGTCCCTAACATATTCCCTAGTAGGAACCCATGTCAATTAACTGTATGGGAAATAATGGCTGTAGCTCATATGAAGCTTAAAGTCGATATTGTAGGGTTTGGGGGTGCCTTTCTGAACCCTGGGACAACACACACCCGAACCGACTGAGGAATGTCTGGCTAAAGTTTAGCGCAAGAAAGCATAGAACCTCATGAACGGCCCGCAATGACAAAAAGGGAGTTTGCATGTATAAGGATGCTGCGCCCGATCATAGCTTAAAGGAAATCATTCCATGAGGGGAATTCAGGTTTGTACGCTTGATGTCCAAAACTGGCGACTTGAGCGTTCGAGTGCCGGAAGCATGCGAAACGCTTCATGCACGTCCCAGTTCCGGAAGCATTCGAAACGCTTCGTGTGAGGCATCCAATCCGTCCCACACTAATTAGTACTCTCCCTATGTTATTATACTACTACACCAATTTCCTACTGTACTACTATATTGCTCTGCTACTATTCTACCCTACTACTGTACTTTTACATATTCTACTACTATACTACTCTACTGCTATACTACTCTACCACTGTACTGCTATACTATTCTTCTACTCGACTATTGGACTACTATACTACTAGACTGCCAAGTTGCGACACCGCAAGGCCTTTGTCCGAACTTTTGCCGGGCGCTAAGATAACAGGTTGCAAAAGCTGCGGAAACTACCATGTTGAAAAGGGACAATATTGGCAACTAATGGGGGTCAAAAAAGACAAGATCATGGACAATTAAACGGACAATTGAGATTGCAATTGAGGCGTTGTCCGAATGCTAATTTCTGTTGGGGTGCCCTAAGTACTGAGGCAATCATACAACTGGGATTCAGAAACTGGCCATAATTTTGACAAAAAAATCTCATCATTCCCTAAACCTGTCCCATGGTCATGGCGGATGACACTGGATTTTGATATCAGATATGACTTACAATCGATTTCAAGTCATGCTTGAAG